TATCTTCATGGAACATGATATTTACTTAATATCCTAATGATTTTTGGCATAAAAGAAAAATCAATCATTTTGACCCATACAATGTTTTTTTGGGCTATTGCTAAAAATATACCCCAGCGACTTAAGACTGGTTTTGTGGTCCAGGGTCACATATATTATCTGAAAACAAATCTTCCTTTCTGAAAAAAAAAGCAAGGCAGGCATACTAATTAATAACAATTATTATTTATTTATTTATTGCTGCAGTATAAACCCTATATTGAGTTCACACTGGGAGAGCAAAAGGCATATAGTTGTGTTAAGGAGAAAGAGTTGTTAGATACCACTGTGTTTACAAATGAATTGGTAATCTAGGCTTCTTTACAGTCAGGAGAGAACAAATCACACTCTGGTTTATAGTGACCTGACACACATACACACACCTGCTCTCACCCACAGATGTACTGAAGTATAAATCAGAGATGGATGTGCTGTATATGGCATATATGCGTTTGATGGTGTGAGTAAATTTATGTGTTTGTGTCACACACATATCATATCCCTTGTGCCCTGCCGCATGTGCTGGAGGCAAGAACAGAACATCAGTTATATAGCGCGTGTTCTGTCGTCATGTGGAAGCAGCTGATGTTTCATACGTAGGTGGAGTGTGTTCAGCTCTCCACTTTATTTAAAACAGCAGGGCTGAGCTATTTAAACACCCTGATATATGAAATGGCCCAACAGGGAGATGTTTGTTTATCTTACTGCTGCTAGGCCGCTTCTTTATTAATACTCTTTTCCTGATTATGCTTGCATGAAGAGGAAAACAAACCAGGTTCTATATAGGTGCAATGCGACACATTTGTCTGACAACTATTTATCTGTCAAATTAAATGTAAAAGCGCTACATGATCTCAGCCAATCAGAGGATATTTAATGTTTAAATTACAGTTATATGGAACAGGATTATTTTTTTATTTTTTTATTTTGGACCAATGAAATGTGGGGTGATGCAAGTTCAAGCTTGATTTTTCCGATGCTATTCCCCCCTCATTCCACATCATTTCCTGTCTTCTTTCTCTGCTGCTGCTCTCCACACTCTCTCTGCTGCCACATAATTTCCTGCCGTGTCTTTTAATAAATAGAATCACTTTAATCCATGGCCTTCTAAAACTATGACAACAGCAAGATGATAAAACAGTGTTAATTTTTTTTTTTCATTATTATTTATTGTTAATAATAATAATCGTAATAATAATTATTCAATTAAGTAATTTGCCTACAGATAGGATAGAACTGTTTGAATCAGAATAGTTTATTATTAGTATTGTTGTTGTTTTACAACGGATAGGGTAATGAACCCTATCAATCAGAATAGTTTTAATATTAGTATATTAATATTAATATTATTAAACAGAAATGTGTCATTTCTGCACCACCCGCCTCACCAAATTGCAAAAAAAATGTTTTTTGGCATTGATCTCACCAAACTTATGCCATTGGTTGAGTCAGAGTTGCTGTGTTGGGATGAAACGAAGAGGAAAAGAAGAGGAAATGTTAAAAACATTAGTCACAGTCACACTTTTAAGGGAAATCAGCTTTAATTATGAATTTAACTAGTGTTTTTATCATATTGCTTTTGTCATGAGACGTAATGCTTGCTTTTACAACGGCTACAAACATGCCTCATCCAATTATACTACATTTTATGCTGGAAAAAATCCAAACACATGCTTTATTCGTGCTTGGTTTCCATACAGAGGAAAAGACAGGGTCAACCTGTTGTCATCTGTGATGTCTCCTCTGCTCTGTCTTTCTTTCTACTGATTTCTTGCATTTATCCTCCACCCACTCTTTTGTTCCTTTCCTAAAGCTCTGTAGCATCATTGCCTTTGGGTGATTGCCCTCTGTAATGACATTCTGCTCCACAGAGCACAAAAGTGAGAGAGAAGCAGATGATTCATGCCTCTGTTCTTTCTTGTCCCCTGCTTTGATGTGTCCTGTTTGCTGGTCTCCAAAGCCTGTAGTTTGTAGAGCCCTGCTGAGCCCTGCTGCCTCTCTTTAGAGCTGCTGCATGCTGGGAAATGAACCAAGCCTGGAAAGGAAATGTCCAGAATCCAGCTCATTGGGTTGGACGTTCTCTATGGGGCAACGTGCACTTAAACAAAAGCATGCACATACTGACACTCACAAGGACATGCATGAGACAGACTCCTCAGCAGGACACACACCCTGGTGCATATGTAAGAGATCATGTACAGTCATCCAGTCATTATTGCAAAATAATGGGTCTCGTTTCACCCTAAAGGGGTTTGTTTTGTGAAAATGACCAGCTGCCTGTACATTATCCCTTATATATTCACCAGGGAGAATGTCATTATCCCTCCTGCGACATGGCTGTTTACCAAATAAATCGATGTACAACGGATAGGGTAATGAACCCTATCAATCAGAATAGTTTTAATATTAGTATATTAATATTAATATTATTAAACAGAAATGTGTCATTTCTGCACCACCCGCCTCACCAAATTGCAAAAAAAATGTTTTTTGGCATTGATCTCACCAAACTTATGCCATTGGTTGAGTCAGAGTTGCTGTGTTGGGATGAAACGAAGAGGAAAAGAAGAGGAAATGTTAAAAACATTAGTCACAGTCACACTTTTAAGGGAAATCAGCTTTAATTATGAATTTAACTAGTGTTTTTATCATATTGCTTTTGTCATGAGACGTAATGCTTGCTTTTACAACGGCTACAAACATGCCTCATCCAATTATACTACATTTTATGCTGGAAAAAATCCAAACACATGCTTTATTCGTGCTTGGTTTCCATACAGAGGAAAAGACAGGGTCAACCTGTTGTCATCTGTGATGTCTCCTCTGCTCTGTCTTTCTTTCTACTGATTTCTTGCATTTATCCTCCACCCACTCTTTTGTTCCTTTCCTAAAGCTCTGTAGCATCATTGCCTTTGGGTGATTGCCCTCTGTAATGACATTCTGCTCCACAGAGCACAAAAGTGAGAGAGAAGCAGATGATTCATGCCTCTGTTCTTTCTTGTCCCCTGCTTTGATGTGTCCTGTTTGCTGGTCTCCAAAGCCTGTAGTTGGTAGAGCCCTGCTGAGCCCTGCTGCCTCTCTTTAGAGCTGCTGCATGCTGGGAATTGAACCAAGCCTGGAAATGAAATGTCCAGAATCCAGCTCATAGGGATGGACGTTCTCCAAGGGGCAACATGCTCTCAAACAAAAGCATGCACATACTCACACTCACAAGGACACATGAGACAAACTCCTCAGCAGGATGTACGGCCTAGTGCATATGTAAGGGAACATGTACAGACATCCAGTCATTATTGCAAAATAATGGCTTTTGTTTCACCCTGAAGGGGTTTGTTTTGTGAAAATTACCGTCTGGCTGTACATGATCCCTTATATATGCACCAGGGAGAATTTTATTATCCCTCCTACGACTTGGCTGTTTACCAAATAAATCAATGTGTTTGAAATATTGATTTAAGTTACATTTATTTTAATATGTTAGAAGAAACTGTTACCGCAGAGTGCTAGGAGATGTATGATACAGGTATATATGAAAAAGTAAGTACACTCCATGGACAGTAAATGTTGGGGGTGTACATATTTTTTTTCAACAGAAAACAATTTAAATTCTGTTGATAATTTTTTTTTGACAAATAACTATACATTTTTACATTTGTTTCAGTTATGTCACCCATCAATACTGTCAAGATAAAGTTCTACCGTTCAAACGTTTGGAGTCAGTAAGAATGCGTTAAATAAAAAAGTGGGGGAAAAAGTGACAGTTAAGACATTTATAATGTCACAAAAGATTTCTATTTCTATTAAATGCTGTTATTTTGAACTTTATATTGAAAGAATCCTGAATCTGTCACGTTTCCACAAAAAATATTAAGCAGTACGTAAGAAATGTTTCTTGAGCAGCAAATCAGCATATTAGAATGATTTCTGAAGGATCATGTGACACTGAAGACTGGAGTAATGATGCTGAAAATTCAGCTTTGCACCACAGGAATAAATTACATTTGAAAATTTATAAAATAGAATATTTTAATACATTTCAATTATTTTAAATTGTAATAATATTTCACAATATTGCTGTTTTTACTATTTTTGAAAAAAAAAAAAAACTTTCTTAAAAAAATCTACTACTAATACTAACCCCAAACCTTTGAATGGTACTGCATGATCCACATATGTTGGGAAAAAATTAATTGGGTTTACTATTTTTTCACAGCATTGTATGTTCGAAATTGGTTGACAAATGCACAGTCATTACACAAAAATGTGACCTTAGAGCACTGATTGACCAATCAGAATCAAGTATTGTAGAGAGCCAAATAATAAACACACTTTGCATTAGATGAGAGAGTACAGTCTAGAGAGCTCTGTGTGGGTGTTCTCTCTTATCTCTCTCCCTCTTAAGAAATCTAAAGGCTTACATAACCTCTTGCTCCCTGACAGTCATACCAAAATAACTCACCTTTACCGTATACTCACTCAGATACAATCAGCTGCAGCCTCTTCTGGTAAGACGCAATAAATATTACATCAACTTCCCCTACAATGTGGCCGTGATCTTCTGTTACACAGATAGTGTCATTGTAACTGTGTTGCATCTGTACATGATAATGTCTGGGTTTGTGGGGTACAGTAAATCAAACAGTACTTACAGTCAGCACAGATGATATCTGCACACATGCTAGAAGGTCAAGGACAAAGTGACTGCAGTGTGAATCAAGACAGCTTATCACTGATCATGAAAACATTTTCCTTCTCTCTGTTCTCCGTATGTGTGTGTGTGTGTGTGTGTGTGTGTGTGTCATAGGTGTCCAGAATCTGCCCGACCAGACACCATTCAGCCCTGTTTACTGCCCTGTAAGAAAGATTGCATTGTGACTCCTTTCAGTGAATGGACAGCCTGCCCTACCACATGCCTGCCAGGTATTGATACAGTCTCTTCACACAACCTTTAGCTGTGACATTTCAGTGCTACTTCACTTACAAGGTACCACTGAAATGTCAGTGGTATAAGAATTTTCACCTGAAAATAAAAAGTGTGTTTATTTACTCACCCTCATGTGGTGCTGTTATTTTTCCTGTAGAACACATAAGTAGAATTTTTTGACTCTTACCATACAACAATAATGTTTTGTTTTTTTCAACTAAAAAAAATAAAATTCTGTCATCATTTACTCAACCTCAAGTTGTGCCAAACCTGTATGAGAAGACATTCATACAGGCCTGGAGCAACTTGAGGGTGAGTAAATGATGACAGAATATTCCTTTAATACAGTAATAACAGAAATAATGCTACAATTTAAAATTACAATGACACTTTCTGTTTGTATATATTTTAAAATATAATTTATTTCTGTGAAAGCTGAATTTTCAGCATCATTACTCCAGTCTTCAGTGTCACACGATCCTTCAGAAATCATTCTAATATGCTGGTTTGCTGCTCAAGAAACATTTCTTATTATTATCAATGTTGAAAGCAGTTGTGCCGCGTCATATCTTTGCAGAAACTTTTTTTTTCCAGAATTTTTTGGTGAATAGAAAGTTGAAAAGAATTTAAGCACTTAATGGAAATAGCAATATTTTGTAACATTATAAGTGTCTTCACTGTCACTAATGCATCCTTTCTGAATAAAAGTGTTAATTAATCTGAAAAATTCTTACTGACCTTAAACTTTTGAACAGTAATGTATAGTATATGTAGCTCCATAAAGGACCAAAAAAGCACCTTAAATGTATCGTAGAGGTGGTCCATATGCCTGTCATAATGTTCCCTGTCTTCTGAAGCCATGCAATAACTTTTTGAAAAGACTGAAATATAAGTTATTATTAGCTGAACATCTTGGTGACCTAAGCTCTTGAAAGGACATTATAAACTGTAGGATAGAAAGGCCTGTGTTAACTTTCTTCAAAGAACTTCTTCTTTTGTGATCCACAGAAGAAGAAAAAAAGTTCGGCAGGCTTGTTTGCTCAAAATAGCCAATGCTATGGCTGCAGAGTGAACTGACTTTCTTTTAAAAGGGACTTTGTATAAAAAATAAAAAAGGAGCTACATAACTTAAACAGAGTTTATTGTGTTGCCTCATTTAAATTTACTCTAAGTGCCTTTCTATAAACATGATTTTTGCTTTTAAAAAATCCACAAATGCTGTGGATGAATGTTGTGTATAATGAACCAGGAATATTCCAACTTACATTTGATTGAAAACCACATTGCCTAATATTTTGACTCATACCAACTCTCTCTTATCTAATAATTTCTTTCTTTTCCTAGGAGATAAAGCATACTATTTACAGAGTTTGTTATTATAAACTAGAATTCATTACCTCCATGAGGACAGTGTGTTGATAAATAATCAGGGATTTACACTTTCACACACTCGAGACTGCTAGGATGTGATGTCTTACACCTCTGCTGTAAACATGGTGAAAGCCAGACCACATACGTGCAGATCATTCTCAGAGGGGCTTTTCTTACCCACAGAACAGTTTTATTACTCTTTAATGAGACAATTAATTGACAATTACTTCCACTAAAGAAACGAGGAGTAAACAGGCATTTATTATGATTGAATCAAATGGTAACATTTGAAGAAATGTTTTAAATAACTGATATCCCCTTTGTAAATAGTGTGCTTTACCCTGTTTTGATCTTCTGTTAATGAGATCACCTTCTTAATTGTGCTATTATCAGTCTTTTAATAATTAGCAATGTGTAATGAGCCTTACAACGTCTGTTAAATGAAGTCGTTACATCAGCTTAGGGTCCATACAGGGAACAGGAAGTGAACACCACCAGAGAATCATATCATTACCTCTTATCTAAAGAGCTCTTTGAATTGTTCCTGCTGTGGTAATCGCTGTCAGAATACTAATAAAGTGAAAGATGGGTGAAAATAATGTTTTCTTTGTGTTTGTACTGTGCAGTGAACAGCAGCATGCCCTCGCAGTCACGATATAGGATCATCATCCAGCGGGCGGCCAATGGGGGTCAAGAGTGTCCAGATACTTTATATGAGGAGAGAGAATGTGAGGCTCTTCTGGTTTGTCCTATTTACAGGTGAATAAACTGCAGTTGCACTAGTGGTTTACCAATTTCTCAGCTAGACCGATACAATGTTTGCGGTCCAGCCTGTTTTGGTTTTGTGGAGTTGAGAGTATCAAAACCTTTTACAACTGCACACAGCAGTTCAGAATCGCATGCAATGAAATGCATGAATAAATATATTATATGCTGTTTTGTAAGCTTGCAATACTATCCTCAAATTACACAAGTAACACATTGTAGCTGTAATTTACTGCACAAGTAAATGCCAAGCTATGTGCACGTTTCTCTGCCTCATGAATATATGTGAATGCGATTTTGCAGTTGTAATAACTTTTTTAATTGTTATTCTGCCAAGTTTATTCACAAATAGAAGAAGGTTGATTTTTTTTAACACAATAGTTATAACAGATAACATTTTGTTTCTGTCAATTTGTCCCATTAAAAAATAAATAAATAAAACACTTGTATGCAGACATTTCCGGAGGAATAACCTGTAGCTCTGGCGCATTGTGTGACTACTTCATGCTTTTACACCATGCAAATAAACCTCAATCCATGCTTCTGAATGCCTGAAAAGTCACAGGGCATTGTTGAATAACAATGATGTGCAGCTGGCATACACTAACATTCAAAAGTTTGTGGTCAGTACATTTTTTTTTTTTTTTTGCTTTGAAAAATAAATACATAAATACTTATTTAGCAAGGATGCACTAAATTGATCAAAAATAACAGTAAAGACTTAGATTATTTAAAAATATTTATATTTCGAATAAATAGTGTTCTTTTAACCTTTTTATTCATCAGAGAATCGTGAAGAAAAACATTTTCAACATTGATAATGATAAGAAGTGTTTCTTGAGCACCAAATAAGCAGTTTTACATCAGCTTTTCATCACAGGAATAAATTACAAATGACATTAAAACATTTTTACAAATTTACCAACCCCAAACTTTTGAATGTTAGCATATTAGAGAATTCTCATACTCCACTCCATCATATCCAGTAATGCTGTATGTCATGTTATGTAAAGAATAATTGACAACGGGCCGTTGAATTATTAGAAAATAATGCACACCCGAGGTGTGCATTATTTTCTAATACAATGAACTTGTAATTCAACGGACCAGAGTCAAGGGCCAGCCAGGAGGCCCCATGTCAGGGTTCAGTTTAGGGTTAAATAATTGTTAAAAGTGCTTAATAAGCAAATATATCTTCATCTGTATTTATTGAAAGATAAGTACTGGGTAGATACTGATAAAGTCAGTTTGGTCCTTTTTTTACAAAAAGGGTTATTATAGTTAACAAAAAATAAAAAATATATATTTATAAAAAAAAAAAACATTTTTGTTACTTCAAATAAAATATGTTAACTGAAATAAAATACTTAAACTGTTTTATTTTAGCTAGTTGACAAGGCAATATTTCCCATTTCATGTAGTTTGTTATGATGTTCTAAAATAACTAACACTAAAACTGAAATAAAATGTAATAACTGTATAGACATTTAAAAATAACAAAACAATAAAAACAAACAATAAAATTACTAAAACTTTAACTAAAATTAAAATGTTAAAGGCAGAAAATATAAAAATAATTCCAAATATTATCAAAAACTATAATAGTATCTGAATGATACTAAAATAACAGGTGTCAGTGTAAGATGTGTGTACGATGGGGTTGGTTATGGGGGGCCCTCTTTTGAAAATCTGCTTAGGGCCCCTAAAATGCAAGGGCCGGCCCTATTGCCTGACTACTGAGAAAATGACAAGTAGCTTTTAAGTTGCTGAACTATTTTACTGATAAAATCGTCAGAGTGGCGCTGACAACACGTTTCTATGCGTGTGTATGTTTCCATGTGTTTGAGTGTGTGTCTGTACTGTACTGCAGTGTTTCCCAACCGGGGTGCCGCGGCACCCTGGGGTGCCGTCTGTCGAGAGCAGGGGTGCCGCACAAAAAATAATTTTTTAATATTTTTAAATTGCTAAAATGTTCAAAAAAGCAGCTATTATATAATATCCATTTCTGATGTCGCCAATAATTAGAGATGCACTGAAATTCCGGCTGCCGAAAATTAGTTCACTGCTCAGGATTCACTTTCACGTGGTGTGACGCTCTGCGTATTATCCCACTCTATGCGTGTGTGCTCCGCTCAGTCGCTCACGGCCGATGTGAGTGCTCCACTCATATACCGTTCATGCTCATCGGAGCAACAAAGTCCACTCAAAAATCGAGCTGACAGGAAACATCTATGTAGTACAGTATTGTTTCTGTCTACAATAGCCCTACTGTGTTGTAACATGGTGTTGTTATATGGGCAACTCTGGTAACGCTGCCCTCTCATTCATTGATCTGCTAACCGTTATGGATTTATTCAACAGTCACATTTTTATTTTTTTTTGCAAGGCTAGACCTGGGTCACATGCATATGAGCGCGAGCGCATATTTGGAGGTTATGCATTGGTCCTCAACATATTTTTGACCGTGACCAGTCAGCTTTCTTCAAACTCGCGCCCTGCTATAAACATAGTTACATACATTAGTATAGCTCAGTGGTTCCCAACCCTGGTCCTGGAGGCACCCCAACACTGCACATTTTGCATGTCTCCTTTCTCTGACGCACCAATTTCAGGTCTTGAAGGAAG